CAGCAGCAGAAGCTTTGCACGACAAAGCCCAGGGTATCCATTATCAACCAGCTTTTGTCACCTCGGCTGACATCATCGTTAACTTTTCCTCCACTATCTGAGTAGCTCTGAGATAATAGAGCTACTCTGGCCTGACCCACCCCACATGTAAATATTTGTCATTCCCTACAAACTGAAGTGCACCGCCTCTCCTCCCTTGGAAAACAAATCTATTATTATCATCTTTTTTCAAATTTTTTTATAACCATCGTGTGGTGAGGGAAGTGTTTTTTAGCTTGTTGGGTGGGCGTGTCAGTCTGGAGATGGGTTCATCCTTATCTCGTGCTTTTTAATAGAGCAGAGGAAAACGGCTTACAACGCATTTGGTGTGGCATAAACTAGAGGATTTCCATGTGTTGCTGCAATTTTCAACTTTTAAAGTCTGAATTTTTTGTGTTGATTTATTCTCAACTGAAATAACCATCAAGTGACTTGACTTTGCCTTTTTTTTGCATTTATGTTTATGTTTCTGCATTTAGTAGATGCTTTTATCCAAAGCGATTTACAAAGTAGACACAATTTTACGGTTAACATCAATATGACAATAAGTTCTCTAGAGAAAAATCCCCAGTCAGAATCATTTGTGACAGCAAAGAGAGAGAGGGAAGAACAGAATAAGTGGTACAAGGGTACAGAGGTATGGGGAAGAGTTTGGATAGGAGATGCTCTGTGGAGAGGTGGGTCTTTAAGAGTTTCCTAAAGATAGAAAAGGACCTGCTGTTCTTGTAGCGATTGGTAAGTCATCCCACCATCTTGGATTTAATAGATTATTTGATAAGTGTTTCTTTGCCGTTGAACGACTTGTTTACAGTCAAACACCATAGTTACGGTCTGATTTTTTTAAGGTTAAGTCTTAAAAATTAGACGGTTAAAGTTGGGAAAACTGAATGGATTGATGACAACTCCCACTGTAATAATGTAACACACCTGAAACGCCTTTACTGGATAAGTGGCAAAGCAAAGGAGCCTCATAGGTTTAAGTGTAGTCATCATGGATACACTATATACATTTCTGTTACAAGCTATTTCCCATCAGTGCAGGAGCTTAACCTTGTAAATACTACCTGTCCAATCAAAACTTAGTCTGATATCAGTCTGTATTGCCATTGTTGGACGTTGGGACACAGGAACTAAGAAGTTGGCAACAACTTCCATTTAAAAAAAGTAAAGGGCTCAAAGAATATTGCCAAGTAAAATATATGAATTGCTTCAAGAAAAGTAAAACTTCTGTAGTAACCAGTGTGTCTAACAAGGTTCAACGGAGTTCAATAGAGACCTGAAAGTGGTTGTTTTACCACCGCTCCCCAACCCACTGAAACATTTCTGCCAAGAAGAAGGGAGAAGCTTCCAAAGGAAAGCCGTGCCAAGCTTGCAGGATCATTCCAAAGAATACTTTATGCTATAGCTGCCAAAAACGCCTGAACCAAAGACGAGGGAAAGCGTCTGAATACTTAATAGGACATTATATTTAAACCCACCCGAAAAGCCTGAAAAGCCGGAATTTGCCTTGTCATTACGGGGTGCTGTGTGTACTTTAGAAGGATGAAAAAGGACTGCCATTTGAAAATTTGAATGGCTGAAAAACTTTTTGAACACAAGCTGAGAAAACAAATCACATTTGATATTTACTCTGTTACCATCATCTGGTGTATTAACCACAAATGGGAGAAGGAGAAGATGATACAGAGCACTCTTACCTCATCACTCCCCCATCGGTAGCAGCAGTAATAGGTGTTCAAACCTTTGCTATTTGATTTGACTCACGGCATGAGTCACCGCTTTATTCACCATTGTACCTTTTATCTGCAGATTGGGGCATTTGATTTCTAGAGTGGTTTGCTGATGCGTTACAACAACAAAAAAAAGCAAATAGAATAAAGCAAAGTGGGGTTGAATGGTATTTTATTTGTATGGAGCCTTTAGGAGAAATGCTTTCTTTAATCAGCTGTACATTCGGATTAAAAGTCAAATCCTCTCACAAATTCTGATCATTGCCATGAAGCCATTAGACCACAGAAACTTTGTGTCTACATTCAGGACATTTCAGTGTCTTCATGTGTGTGTTTACCTATTTACTATTTTTCGGTGATTACCTATGACTTTTTTAAATGTAATGTTTCTGAACTAAAACTAAAAACATAAAATAAAAATTCAATATGTCTCTCACTCTTCTGAACACGACTTCCTTTGAAATGAAGGGTATCTCTGGGGAATGGGTTCCTCTAATGATTAGTACTTGTTTTGCAATGTGTTGCCATTAAGCAACTTGGAAGTTGTGGGGTAAAAAAAGACATCTGTTCATGATTGATGACAAATCTTTATTATTAGTACACAAACATCAAGCGTCCTTAGACTAAATGAGCCAATATTGTACATGGCACCGCAATCCTTCAGGGAGCAACAGTCCTGTAGAGTAAAGAGTAGCCAGAGGAAAATAGCCATCCTCATTAGAGGCCTGTTCCTGTTGATCCAGCCAGAGGTGCTGTAGCCATCGACCTGCCTTCTTTCAAGCAGCGCTGGCCTTCAGAAGGCGGGATTTGGGATTGCCCCTTTAAGCCTCTGTTCATTAGGCCGAGTGTTTGCTAAGATCGGCCCACTGTTGGAGCTGTCGTCTGACTGAGAGGAAACGGGGGTTAAGCTAACAAGTACAAAATCCGGCAATTATTGGTGGAATCTACCTTGAAGAGATAATATTGATTTTCCAAATGCTGCGGTGCTTTATTCTGAAATAGTGCTTTCTCCAGTGGCCACTTCTCAGTTAAAGGGTATTCTTTTTGCTTTCATACGGCTTCTTTCAGACAGGACTCCAGTTTGATATGCAGCATGTGTGCCTGCGCTTAACACTGTTTAAAAAAAGAAATTCAACTTTTAGGCAAGCTCATTGATTCAATGAAAAATTCTTGACTTTAACATTTCACAACTGACTTCCACTTCTGCCTCCCTTACTGTGTTTATCTGTTTATTGTTGCTCAAATGGCACTGGAAAAGTAAATTTCATAATTAGAACGGATGAGAATGTATTTTTACTGCTACCTCTATTATGTTATCTATTATGACTTATGATGGTATTATATATTACTGACATTATTATTACTATCCTCCAAGGGAGATTATATTGCTTCAGAGTAAAATTTTGAGGTAGGTCAAATCAATGTATTCATTTCAGACGATGCAATGTAGTTTAAGAAAAAGATAATTGTAACAGTAATTTTTTTTAAATCACAGTTTAACAGGATAACAAAACAAAAAAAGTAACACAAATGAAAGTAGCACTGTGCCGCAATTGTGTCTCACTATTTGTTATGGATATATAGTTGGTCTCATGTTAGCGCAGTTTTACTTGGCAAAATATGCTTGTTTGTTCTTGTTTGAAGCATTACAGTTAAGACATTGGCCCCTGCCAGAGCCAGAAAGAGTGCATCCATTGGTCCATGGTTTGAGAAATTTGCCTTTGCAGTGACAAATGTAACAACATTTTTTGGATGATCTTTGTCTGGTTTAAGTTGTTTTTAAGTTTTCAGTGGGAAGCATACGCATGGATCTACTGGAGAAAGGCTATACGTGTCTTACATTATGGTAATTCTTGTTGTAATTAAGAGGAAGTATGTGTTTCTTGTCTTAGTGTGAGTGGTGTAAACGTATGGATAGCACAGGATACACATTAGCCAAACACTGATTCCAGAGAAGGCCTCTCATGGTTTTTTTTTTTACTTCTATCACAAATTCTGTGCAGCACAGACACGAGTAAACTAGGTCTGGTGTTGGCCGTTAACTGAAAAACTGCTGTGTCGAGAGAGTCTGTTTTCTAGAAAAGGTGCCATTTTGCTGAACATCAACAGAATGTATATTTCTTAATGACAATGTATAACTTGGGAAAAGTTAAGGATGCTTGTAAAGTAGATACATGTGCTTGACAAAGTTAAACGCTTCATCCCAGACACAACACCCATTTTGAATTCATTGCAAAAGCTCCCATCATTTTCTGCTGATTAAGCGTTTTAATTTTTGTGGGGGAGGCAAAGATGATTTAGGCTTTCCCATGTAGACCCGCTTAGGCAAATCCAATATTCCCACTCGCTGTTGTCGTGTGGCGTTTGTGGAGAAATGTCTTGCTCAGTTTGCATGTTGTTTCCGTGTCTGCGCTTCCAAAAACATGCACGTTAGGTTAATTGAAAACCAAACTGCTCCGAGGAGTCAATGATCCGATCTGTCCAGGGCGTACCCCACCTCTCACTCAATGCCAGCTCGGATAGGCCCCCCCTTTCCCCGACCCCATTTTGGTACGCGCGGTATGGATGGATGGATTCTTTTTTAATAAGGTATTCTAAAAGCAAAACATGTTTTCTATCAAGCCATGTCTGAAGCAGGAAGCTGTTTGCATACAGTAATCAGTGATTAAGAATGAACTCAAGAACAAGCTGTCCGATGTTCATTATAGATGGTGTACTCATTTGTTATTCAACCTATCAAGTAGAAATGTATCTATCTAGGTCTGAGCCAAAACTTCACATCCTCATTAAGTCTGACACTGGTTCAATCTTGAACCAGGACCTTTCTGGATGGAGTCTGCATGTTCTCCTGTGTCTGTGGGTTCTCTCCGGGTTCTCCGGCTTCCTCCTACCGTCCGAAACCCTGCATGTTAGGTTGGTTGGACTCCAAACTGCCCTTAGTGTGAGTGTGTGTGGTTGTTGGTCCTTGTTTGTCTCTGTGTATCCCTGTGATGGACTGGGGAACGTCCAGGGTGACCCCGCCTCTCCCCATTGACCACTGGGATAGGCTCCAGTCCTCCTGTGACCCCATTAGGGAATCAGCGGGTATGAAAATGGATGGATGGATGGATGTTTCCTTGCTTTGTTTGGTTCCACACAGAAAATGCCTCGTCTTGAATGTACCTCTCACTTATCTCTCTTGTATGGATCTGTCAGTGTTCCTCTCTCTAAGTTTTTCCGTCTTCATTACAGCACACGGATGCAGTCTCTGCAGGTGGACTCGGTCCAGCGCTGGATGGAGGACCTCCGCCACATGACGGAGGTGGAGTGCATGTGCGTCCTGCAGGCCAAGCCCATCGGGGTGGAGGAGGACTCCCAGCAGGGGGAGCTGATCGTGACCCCGGGGGTGGGCGGCGGGGACCACGTGGCCCGGAACAACCTGCAGACGCTGCTGCGCCGGGCCCTGGTGGTCAGCACCGAGCTGGGGAAGATGTTCCAGCGGCTGGAGAAGGGCCGCTGGCAGAGGGTCCACAGCACGGCCGTCCGCGCCAACTGCCACGTGCGCTCACTCGTGCACGAGTACAGCACTGCCCGGAACACACCCCCCGAGATGCAGAAGGTGATCGTCTCAAAGCGAGTACACAGAGAAGCTTCTTTAAAGAAACGAGCATGGATCAGTCATCAGTGGAACATCTTGCTATCTACATCATTCTAGATACTTTTATCCATTCTTGATGTTCTTCCATTGTCCCTTTTGTTGCAGTATGAAAAATCACTGCTGGAAAAATGTATGGAGTTGACTAATATAACTGAGAGGTAAGGCCCTGCTGCTAAACCAGAACAAAACCAGAAGTGTGTGTCCATACAGGTGCTAAAGACAATTTGCTTGCTCACCTGCAGGTGCCTGCACACCGAAGATGAATTCTTCCTGAAATCCATGAGAGAGGCCATCCATGAGATCCTCACAGATGTCAGCGATTCCTTCAGCAACATGATTGACTTGGCCTTAGCCAATGAGATTCGGGTATGGACCTATTGTACTGTACCTGCTACATTATGTAATGTTTGAGCCCTGCAACTGTATGTATACACACTGTAAACAAACCTCATTCCTTTGTTGAAACAAAGAAAATAGTTGACCCATTTTGAAATTATAGTTAATAAACAATTAGCAGTCCAGAAAGTGTAAGATTGTTCTCCTGGAAATATATGTTTTCTTCAACACTTCTGTATTTCTCTCTCTCTCCAGTTGGTTGTTGTTAATGACTCGGGGATTTTTACTTACCAAATTTTACAATAAGGAAGAATTAATTATGTATTGGCTTTTTATTTTATTGATAAAATATGTATTTTTTCCATATAGTAGTCAAGTAAAAACTACCAAAAACAAAATTAAAATACTCCGACCAGCCATAGTACAGTAACTGGGCCCTAGTGGTTAATCCCTTGTGTCCACAAGTGTTTGGTGTTGGTATTTCTTCCCACAGATGCAATCTAACCCCCATCACGTTGGTATGATGGAGGTCTAGAGGCAGGGAAGTGTCCCTTTTAATCTCGTTTAAGGCTAATTGTATAATGTTGTATACGACATGTAGAAACTATCAAACTCTTATCTACACACACACAGTACAGGTTTCTGTTCTGTGTCTGGATCCATTAACAAACTAATCAGGCTCTCACCTTTCTCTTAGGTTCTGATCAAGCAGATTGAGTCATCAGACAGCCTTCACACAATCGGCAGTGCCATTAGCAACCTGCTGTCTCTAACCCAGGATGGACCCCAGCTCTGCAGCATCATAGCCAAGGTATTTCAGACTTCTTGGTTTACATACTCAAAAGTTTTTCACCTAATGAGTGGAGATTAGTCTCCAAAGACCAAAAACCGGACTCTTTGTAAAAGCGCCCCTCTTGTGACCCCATTTTAAAATTGTGTTCGTCATTCGGACCCAGACTGACTTGTACAAGCAGATATCTCAGTACACGTACTGCGGCCGGTGGGAGATAAGACAAGACAGACCAGACAGAAAGTCTCAATTGGCCATTAGTTAGACGACCGCTTCTAAGATTCCTTTGATAAGAGTCTTCATGATGGCGTAGGCAAACACACACATGCACACACCTCCTCTGAGGCCGGATTGTCAGATCAATACTGTCAGCTCTCGTTAGGAGTGCACATTGATCATAAAGGCAGGCTTCTCAGGTGCTTTACCTTTCAGTCTGCTCTTACTTAACTCTCTGCGTATGGTCGCCTGCCCCGCCATCGGGGGGGAAACCTGCCTGCCATTGGCTGCTAACGAATACCCGATACAGACCCCGTCCACCTGGTGTCTGAGGTCATTAGCCTCCAGCTGCCTGTCTGCTGCATTCTCACACACAGCCTTCTCAGTTGTGTGTGCATCATCTGGCTCTGAGCTCTTTTCCCATGATCCTTTTCCTCTGACTGCTGATTTCTTTCACCCTTCTTCTGAATAACTGCAGTAAACTGTTTAACAGCTCGGGCGGGGACCTGATATTTCCTCCTTCTTCATCTCTTTAGCAGTTTCGCTCTTGACAGACAGTGCAAAGTGAATGATATGGTGGGATTAAAGCACAAGATGGGTGGAGTTTAATATTGTTACTGTCATAATGGATGGCAGACACTGTAAGGTGGCGACAGCTTCTCTGGGAAAATTGCACAACTGGGCATGAGCATGAAACTCTCATCCATCCATCTCAACATGATGGCATTAGCAGATCCTTTCTTCTCATTTTGATAATCTATTTGCTAATACATCATTTGGAATGAATGGAGGACTTGTTTCCACATAATAAGTCAGAACTGATTTCTGTTCTGAATCAGCACATTAATGGAGCAATGGAGCACTAGCTAGTCCTGGTGTGTTCTGGGTTTTAATGTTATTCCTTAACTCCAACACTTGTACCTTCTCATTTGCAAAGTTTTTTAAAATCTTTTGTCATCCTCCCAACCACCACATACCCTTCAATACAACACTAGAAGTCATCATTTCAGTTCCAAGATCCATTACTTATAATCATAACAAAAAGTCGTTCTCAGTTCGGGGAAATGTCATTTGAATGTGTTCCCGCCCTGTTCTGGAATCAGCTCCACTGCCACCTGAACCTCAAAGAGCTGGTTACAAAAAAAAATCAACTCAAACACATTCACGGCCAAAATGCACAGTGGTGTGACCATTAGCAGCCTGACGGTTCCTGGCCTTTCTGTGTAGATTTTGGATGACATCCCATGTGTGGGTTCTCTCCGGCTACTTCCCACAGTCCAAAAACAGACAAGTTCGGTTAACTGGGTGAGCGTGAGGGGTTGTTGGTCTCCGTGTGGACAAATGACTGGCAACCTGTCAAGAGCGTACCCCGCCTCTTGCCCAATGACGGGCTTCAGCCCCTCTCACCCCCCGACTCGCACTGAGCTGTAGCAAGCCATATTTAAAACAAACGCATGAAAGAATGAACTTCAATGACTGACCATCAAAACTTCTACTCATGGTGACTGTTGGGATAATTGTAAAATGTATGAGTTCCCTGATATAGTCTATTCCCACAATGGCCACAGATTTGTCAAGATAGCAAACAAGACAGCCATCTCTTTTTATCTGGGATAAACATTTTAGTAACAAAGGAGTTGACATCCTCCCTTGCTCAGACTGGAGATAATGACTTCCACAGCCCACCAATGAGTCAGGTGGTTCAGTGACAGGGATGCAACCTTTACCACCCACTAAGGCCTCTCTGCTGCTCACTGCTTAAGCTGATACCCCCACCTACTAGTTTACAGTGAAAGAAGCCTTTCTCATGAGAGATTAAGATCAAGAATCAACGAAAAATGAATCCAGTTTTCCTTATTCAAGCATTCTTATCATAACCATGAGCCGGATGACTGAGAATAAAAGAGTTCATCTTTATTTCAGCACAGAGCAAATAGTGCACAAGCAATGTCGATGAGAGCATCGTCGGTTTTTATAGCAATGCAGAGTATTTCTACTCAGGAATGCTTTTCCACATTAAAAAAGCGTCTGACAAAAAACCTGCAGCGTTGACGTCGGTATGTTCAAACTGGTCCAAATAACGAAGGGAGCCTCACTTTTATGTCAACAAAACAGGGTGGGAGATCCTCCGGCTCGCAGACGGTGGCCCTGCAAACTCATTCCCTCAAAACATAGGGTGCAATCTCCATGTTTTTGTTATCCTCCTCATTCTGGATAATAGCACAATTGGGAATGTTTGCGACTGCCTGACACCAGCCCTCTGCCACACTGAGGGATCAGAGCAAATCCATGACATGCACATATGTCAGAGCCATTATCTCATCCTCCAACTGATTCTGTGGAAAACTGCATGTCCATGCATTTTAAAAGCATTATTGTCTACATCTGCATTCGCTAGACGGCCGTCGGCCAGATCAATAATGTAAAAGGTCCTTCTTTTTTTGTGATCGTACTATATTTGAGATCTGAGTGATCTCCTTGATTCTCACACCACCCCTGGATCAGAAAAAGGTGCTCAGTAGTTTGGGACCTTCTTGTAGAAAACCCTTTGCTGAATTTGATTAAGACCAAGAGAAACTGATTCAGTTTCTCACTTGCAGTATCCTTTTTTTAATTTAGAAAACCTGATATAAATGTCTCAGCTGAGTCTTAGCAAGTACAGCAGAGCATGGAATGGTTTAGAAACCATGAGATGGAAGGAAATCACACGCTCTCTAGGCTGCCGTCGCGCACACGTGGATGGGGAAGCACGCATGTGAGAGAGAATGTGTTCTAAGGGCTCCAATTAAGGAATGAGGATGAAATCAGAGGAAGGCAGTCGGTTAGAGAGAAAGGCAGACAAATGGCTGGCAAGCTTAACAATCTGTGAAAAGTTGGGAAGGAGTTTTTTTTTATCTGTGAGGATGAGAGGAATTAAAAGACTTACGTGTTATTATATGATTAATCGCACGAGTCTGTTGCTGCTAAAGCTGGCCATGCTAGCATTTTCTGAAATTTCTGACCACACAATACAATGGATAAATAAAGCAGAACAGTCTTCAAGGGTTTTCAGAGACATTACATGCATTTTCACTCATTTTCAGTCAACTATATATGTGTATCTCTACATTTACATACATGTATGTTTATGTCTAACCAGATCCTGGACTTAATCATTTTTGAAGCAGTCTTTCACCATTGTGACAAAAAACAGAACAAAATGCAGCCAAAATCCAAAGAAGAGCTTTGAGATTACCTTCAAAAAGTCAGAAAAAGAGAAATCCTCTTTCAGACTGAATAGAGAATGAACAGAAGGCTTGTCTGAGAGGATCTATGCTGTGTTGAAGAGCACACCAAAATATTGACTTTCAAGCTTTGAAATGTACAGACTTTATAATTGCCTTTTTACTTTATTTCCATTCAAGTTTCAATTGTGAACTTCACCCCAGTGAGAAGTCTTAAGAATATGAATCAATACTATAAATGAGGATAGTTTTAATGTTGCTTTTTAGGCTTGGCAACAAGCATTCTGATAAAATCTGATCCCCACACAAAACATGATCGCATCACGATAATTGGACTTTTGGAAAAATATTTGAAACCGAAGAACTAATTTCAAAATTGCATTCATACGCCAGCAAACATTTGAAATGACACATCCTACCACGTTGTGACATCATGATCAACATCACCCCGTCGCTGTTCAGCTGTCTGAAGCTCCCTGGAGTCTCACAGGGCTCAGTGAAAGCTGTCCGATGGTGGCCCAATAATGCGTAGGTAGGGACCAGGGAAGAGCGGTCAGGCTGGAGGACGGGATGATTAACCACTCAAAGCCTCGGCACAACGGCCTTAGCAGAATATGAGACATGCCTGCTCAGTATAATGGCCTTATTAGGATAATGGTGGTAGTTACAGGCTTCGTCTTCCTCCAGGTAATTCTAGCCATCCCTGAATATGATTCTCCAAGTGTTTATTCATTTATTTGTTTTTTTTGGTCAGATATGCTTTAGTGTTGGCTAAAGCAGTGGCATGGAGTCATTGGAGGAGCTATTTTTGTTTGTTTACAGCAAGCGTCACCCAACAGAAAATGCTCTGCTATTACGGCTCACAAGTCACCCGTCCTTCTTTTTTTGTGTTTTCCACTCATGAAATATGCACATTTTTACCCAGTATCATAAATAGCTGGAGCCATTTAATAGGTTCCCAGGCTGGCAGGCTCCGCTGGCTAAAGCCGGCCAAATCTATCGGTCATCTCAGGCCTCTTGGAATCTTTGGAAAAAAAAAAAAAACTACACATCTCTTTTGCCAGAGATCTGAAGGGTTCCTTATCCAATAATGTGTGTCGTTCATGGCCCATAATAACTAAGTTTGTGGAAAACACAGAAAGACAATTCTATCAACACATAAATAGATAAATAAATTCAGAATCTCAACAATTAAACTATTGTGGTTGCAAGAAAAATCCCCTCCTAAGACAATTTATCTTTGAGGGATCGGCAGTGAAATATTCCACATGAGTTAGAGCTTCTTTAACCCTAGATGCATCACCTCAACACACTTGAAGCTAGGGATGGAGGAAAACACAGCAACTTAATTCTTTTAATAGTCACAGCAGGACCGTTAAACAGCAGGAAAAAATTAGCGAACACTTACACACCAGCCTCTTAAAATCCAGGTGGATTTTCCTTGAGCTGTGCACGTAACGCCTGCAAACTTCAGCCCAGCCAACACACAATGTGAGCAAGATGGACCCTGAAAGTGTTAGTCTTTAACCAAGTCGACCCCATTAGGGAATAAGTGGTAACGATAATGGATGGATGGATGTTGCTTGCATCCTAAAAAGACAAACGCACAGGGAAATCATGCATTCCTTGATTTGGATTTGACTTCCTCCTATTTTTTACACCCTTCCTGGGTGTAATCTCAAGTAATACTAATCACTTAACATAGTTTCTTTAGATACTTGGAAACATAAACCAACAGCAGAACAGAGCTGTTACCCAGTATTACTTAAAGCTAATAAATCATTAGCATGGGTAAGCATTAATTCTATCAAAACGAAGTTTTTTCATCAGTTTAAGAACTTTTTTAGCAATCCCGGGAAAACATTATTGAAGGTTGTCCCCTGATGAACTTCGCAGCGGTCAGTTCGGCTCCCCGCCCCTACAGGGCAGGTTGTGGCTGTGCCGTTTGCAGAACTGGCACCAGAGAAATAACGTGGCCTGTCCCGCTTCCACAGGAAGGAGCTGTGGTGGCCCTGTTTAAAATCTGCCGGCAGGACCGCTTCAGAGACCTGTACGCTCACGCCCTGAGGACCGTGGCCTCCATCTGCTGCGTGGAGGAGGGCATCAATCAGCTGGACAAGGTAAGCTGACCCCTCCCCCACACAGACGGAGACACGCCCATTCAGCAAAACGACATCATCCGCTAACAGAGCAAAGCTCACATCCAGTATATTTTAAAAAAGACGTTCACATCCAGGATTCCAGCAGCGATCAGAGGTCTTTCATCTGTTCCCAGCTGTGCCTTCAGGCTGACTGAGACACATTCAGCCGTCCTCGCCCTTCTCCCCTGTGTTATGACTGCGAGGCCACTGGTTATTTTCACAGGTGAACGTGTGCCAACACTAGCAGGAGGAAAGAAATGTACTGTGTGATCATCAGGCACCTCCGGTTCACGTGCAGTTTGGACAGGAAAAAGGTGTAGTGTGTTCTTTAAGAGCTGGTTTCAGTACTCAGACCCCCAGTGTGATTAATACTTCATCATGATTATTGATTACCATGAAAAGGATCACTTATCTAAATGATACCAGCAATTAGCGTCAGTCATTATTCATCATTTTTAAAGGGAAATGAAAGGAACCGTTATATTGTTCAGGAGGGTGATTGGACTTCTTTACAGTCATTTTTGGACTCTCCTGCTTTCTTTTTGCCTCAGAGGAACCGTAATCAAACTCAGCTATATCACTGAAAGGCTCTTAGATGGTGGCATAATCGGTTCCAAACTGTGAGTACTGATTTACAGCAAGTCTCTGTGGGACGCGGCAACAACAAGCTCATTAGCCGGACCTCGTGGATGCCGGGTGGACAGGTCAAAGGCTAATGCCCCAATGGCACGGGTCGATTCAGAGTGGGACAGGGGTGGGGGAGGCCACGGGGACGCCCCCCATTGTGTGTCCTGGTGTGTCCTCCGCCGGGAATTCCACTAAAAAAAGAAGAACAGGCCCACCTGTGCCGCAGCGGCGTCTGAGCGCGCTCAGAGCAGCTGCTGTGGCGGGAACCAGCCCACTGGAACCCAAGTCCGCCCCCCCATCAGCAGCCCGGTTCCAGCGGGGGGGCCGTCAGGCGAGGCCGAGCTGCCGAGCGCTTCCTGCAGACTGCTCAGGCGTAGGAAACACAACTGTTGCTGCTGATCTAGAAAAGGGGCCAGAGCGCACCCCCGCCGCTGATTGGTGGATTTAACTTCTCAGTTCCTTCCCCAGCCAGCACATTATGTAATCTTAGGGAACGTGCGTTGTTCAAAATCAAAGTTACTCACTGATTATGTGCCTAATGAATAAAGAAATAATATAAGATGGAGGGGTAGTGATTGTGTTAGGTAACTGACTAGAGTGACAGTTGTCAACCTTTACATTTCAAATGCACATGAATAAAATCCTATCTTTAATACTTGATCTAAGTAGGTCAGCTTGCATGTGAAATCATTAACATCCTCAAAATCAAAAAGAATCTAAAGGTCTAGCCTGGATTACTAACTGATATGTAAAGTTTAACTTCCCGGAACGTCTCATGTTTTATTTCTGGGATGATGTGCCTCGCTCTAAGAGAGCATGACAGGATGGAACAGGAAATTATCTTTTTTTTCTGGCTGGTTTTATGCACCGGACATGTTTGTGTTAATGCATTAGGGCAGATTTTGTTCCTTCTACCATCGTTTCAAGATTTCTGAAGCCGTGACTTCCTGAATTTATTGAGTGCCCACACCGATGACCACCTCTCTGCTCATTAAATGTACATTTACAGAAATGAGCTGAGAATTCTTAAAAGGGGAGCTGTGGAGTGGTGCTCCTCTTCCCTGATCCACTTTAGAATGACAGTAATATGTCCACTGATATTTTGATGATACGGGTAAAAGAATTTGGACAAACCTTGATTCACATTTGTTTTAATGTAACAGCAGATATTTAATTCTGTGTGTGTAAGAGGCTAAATTTCAGTGACGCTTACTTAATCTGACTTAATCAGATTTTTGAGAATCAAGTGCAGGTTTTTATCAGTCACTGTTGGTTTGTTTTCACACTAATAGGGGAAGTTACACTATGGACGTCTGACAGAATCTCTACCAGGTCATAATACGTGGTACAAAAACTCTTTTTTATCTGTTCAGTGTGAGTACGTTCACGAATCGGGGCTTTTTGTCTTCTGAAAAGTGATACTTCTCAGAGCCATGCTGCCTTCATCTACCTTTCTCCCCTTTTTAAAAAGTTATTTGACGAAGAGGAGATAGAATGGAATCCAATATCATTTCTGTCCTGTGAATTAAGTGTTGTGTAGTGGGGAGGGGGTGTGTGTTGAGGGTGGATTGTTCCACGTCAGTGGGCCGCTCCGGCCCGCCGCTGCTGACGTCTGTGGAGACAGAAATAGGGAATCTGTGAAGCCCAGCGCGCTGGTGCTCGTCTGCAGATAGACTGACAGGTGTGGCTGGCTGTGGGCTGACAGGGCGCTTCCGTCAGGATGTTTATAGGCAAACTTCTTCTTGGAGGAGCCTGGCTGTGACTCAGAGTCAGAATCAGTTCATGCTCTTCCTAAATTATCAAAAAAACTATGTGTGTGATTCAATTAATGCAAACCATTTAGAAAAAAACAGTCTGATGTCCGGCAAGATGCAGGAAGAGGATGCAGTTTCCAGTTTTAGTCCATTTCTGTGTGCGTTTTTGACATTTCATCAAGGCAGAAACCTATCGAAAAGTACTTTGTACTGTACAGACGGCTGTGAAACAGACAGCATGACCTAAGCAACACTCCCCCCAAGTGGATCACCAGTCGTTCTACACCTCCATCATTTCCGCACACGCCAACTGAACACACAAGCCAATCCAAACACAGAGATGAGGTCAGGGGATGACATCATGCCTCTGTCGCTTCACATCTGAGCTCCGCTCTGATAGCTGATCATGCAAAAGGAAGCTGGACGGGAGCCAGCCGGCCCTGCAGGCCGTGGTCAGCTCTGGAGGTGACCATCTAATTGAATGGCATGTGTTAATTGCAACAGCTTTACGGGCAGAGCTGCAACATTCTGGCCAGGCGGACTTGTTGAACACGTCTCTTTCTGTTAGACTGGTGTGAGGTTTCTGAATCCATGCTTTTTAAATGACCATAAACTACACACAATGTAGACCTTTAGAATACCAAGTATGTCACAAAGGTTTCTAAAAATGTGTTTCCAATGTGGTGTTCACAGATGAGTGATGGAGTCCACAATCCACAGCCTCCCACAGATAAGAAAAATTCTAACTGGATCTTTAAAGGCCATGAATAGAGCTTTTCTGTCCTTAGCCCTACATGCACTGAATTTATGCAGTTCTGAATTCATTTTGCAGCTGGAAACATCTCAAAACATCTGAACCCGAGATCAGTGATAATTGTCAGATTTAAACAAACCCCCTTTTTCTTGATCTGTGGGATTCCTTACAAACTATCTGGGGGGGAGGGCATGACTTCTAAACTTTTTCAAGACGATTATCAAACGTAAAAAAGTTTAAAATTTAAAAAAATATACAAAAAAAGAACAAATAGAGCTGTCCTATGGTGTATTGGTTATGATCAAATTAAGGTTCTCACAAAAGGTTGATGCAGTCATCCAACTGCTCTGAAATTAGTCTATGAGGGGTTTCATTTTAGCTTTATGATACTTTACAAACATTTAAAATTTTTGGTTTACCATTGAACCCATCCATCCTTATCTCTTGTGCAACAGTGATCATCAATTACAATGAATAGACTAATCACAAAGGTTCCAGGCTCAGTTGTAAAATACGGCGTGCTGTGTGTGTGTGTGTGTGTGTGTGTGTGTGTGTGTGTGCGTGCGGTGTACAGGTGGATGGGATTCTGTGCCTGGCGGACATTCTGACCGATGACAGCAGCGTGGAGGCGGCCCGGGCCGAGGCGGCGGCCGTGGTGGCTCAGATCACCTCCCCCCACCACACCTCCACCCAGCACCTGGCCAGCTTCCTGGAGAGCATGCACGACATCGTCACCGCGCTCATCAGTGAGTGATCCCCCCCCCCCGGGATGCCCTCCTCACCCTTAACCCTCAGTATCTATTCATTAGTAGGGCCGTACTTAAAGGGAAAATTCAGAGGAAGTGAGGGATTTAGTGCAAATGTTCACACTGAAACAACAATTTCTGCAGGATATAACCTTTAGCCTGTTATAAAAGAGATGTGTATTTCACCGTCCCATATGTGAGAGCTTTGCTCATAATCCGTACACTTCCTGTAAGCGGTGCTTTATCCTCTCAGAGCTGTGCGAGAGCGCCTCGTGTGGCGAGGTCTTCCTCCTGGCCTCGGCAGCCTTGGCCAACATTACCTTCTTTGACAGCATGGCCTGTGAGATCCTCCTGCAGCTGAACGCCATCCACATCCTGCTGCAGGCCTGCAAAGACCGCCAGAGAGTCGACACGCCCTACTCCAAGGACCAGGTGTTGTATTCCACAGAAAACAGTGCAAGTCAGAATCAGAATAAGGTTTATTGCCAAGTAGGTTTTTAGACTTACAAGGAATTTGCCTTGGTGTTTGGTGCACAACACTTCTATGAGAAGCAAGAAATAAAATGTAGAAATAAAAATATAGGACAGAAATGATAAAACTGAAAAAAACAATCCTTAAAAATATAGATCCGAATGTACAAATGAACAATCTTTAAAAATATAGATCTGAATGTACAAATGAACAATTGAAATGTGCAATGTTGATCTGCAATGAGCAGGACGCATCCAGAAGTAAATGTAGAGAGATTTGTGATGCTCGTCCTTGACTCTTACTCACTATTTGATCCTCAGGTGGTGACAATTTTGGCAAACCTCTCAGTCTTGGAGCCTTGTGCTCCAGACGTCCTGCAAGAACAAGGTAACCTGTGTTTGTTTTAGTCTAATTTTCAGTCTAATATCACACACACACTCTTCTTGGGGGTTTATATGGGCTAAATAAAGAGAAAGGTAACTCTTTTAGTGATGTTGTCCATTAGCTGTGCAGTGATCTCAATAATTCCGTTGTAATAAATTCCTCTTGGCACCTCAAGAGGGCAGCATCAGGCCATTTATGGAAGAGACTCGCAGCAAATCCATTCTGCGCACGGAAAAATGTGTCAGGTTAAGCATAATAGGAGTGTTTTGTCGCTTTTCTCATTATTTCAGATTCAGGTTATTAGACTATTATTTAAAAAAAGGTGTCTAAAAAGACCCTGCTCTAGCCATAAGATTTTCATTTAAATTTAACTTTTTAAAGCACTTAAAGTATAACCTGTGCCTTTTTTGCCCGGACCCAACTCAGAGTTTAGACCTCTGTGTCGACTCTCCTGCTATGTAAAATGATAGATCGATATCATTTTATGATCTCTGAGCTCTTTATTTGATAGAGACTAACTATGTTATGCTCTTTGTTCTTGTTTGAGTTAACCATTATCACAGTGATAATGAAATGTCGTCACATAATAAGAACCTCCTCGGAGATGGTGGCAGTTTGTGAGCATCTTTGTTCCCTCTTGTCCTGATAAAATGATCCTGACTCTCTGTAAATTGATAATCAGTTGAGTGCTCATCTGCCTGCGTTGATTTATGTCTTTCTTTTGTTGTTTTGAGTAGTTATGAATGTTTCTATTATACTGGACTGCTAAAAGCCCATCTTTCTGCTTTCTCTTTATCTGACATTGATAATTAAAGTGTCTCAATCTGATATAAGGAAACTATCAGCTCATCTGGATGTGTGTGCGTATCTGTGTTCATTATCCCAGCTTTTGTGGACTTTGTCCTCCCACGTGGGGGTCCTCTTTTTGCTCTCATCCATTTTCAGTGTTTTCTGTCGTTTTTTTTTCCTCGCTGGCTAATCCGTCCTGTCTGGAAATGTTTGTTAGGAATAGAGAGACTCCTGCTGCTGCTGGGGGAGAAGCCCACCTCCCCCAGCCCCTCGGAGGGCGCGGCCTGTGAGCGCGTCCAGCAGAAGGCGGCGGTCACGCTGGCCCGGCTGAGCAGGGACCCCGACGTGGCCCAGACCGCCATCCAGCTCAAAGGTGCCCCCCCACCTCACTGTGACTCCACACACACACACACACTTGATCGGTCAGATACAGTGGGAGAAATAAGTATTTGACCCCTTGCTGATTTTGCAGGTTTGCCCACTTACAAAGAATGCTTATTTTTCCCCATCAGATGGTTATCAATTTTTATAAATTCATATGATGTGATTTTCTGGAATTTTCTTTGGGATTCTGTCTTTCACTGTTAGAATGTACATATGATTAAAGTTATAGATCGTTGCATTATTTGTAAGTGGGCAAACCTGCAAAATCAGCAAGGGCTCAAATACTTATTTCCCCCACTGTACGTCAAAATTGAGGAATAAAAAGAATTCGTAAAAGTACTAAATAATAACGACATCGCTTGTAAAGATAAGAGATAGCATTTGATTCAGCCACATTATAAAAAAGACGAGTATTTGAAAGTGTAGACGTGTAATTTCTAACCACCATCTCTTAGTAAAAAAGTTACAATGGCTTAGAGGTCTATGGCTATTCTAGGTTGTTGCATATGTAAAAGGGTTTAGAATATCAATTTGGATTTTGTTAGAGAACTTTTCATAAATGTAGAGTATCTCATTTAATTTGGCATTATGGGAACATTGGTGGATGATAAAAATGGGCCTTGAAGAACTCCACTTGAGGAGTGGCCGTGACACGGAGATCATCTTCTAGTTCAAAGAACTAGAAGAGAACCGTAATGGCTCACAGGCTCGAGATCTCCCTGAGCTTCCTCTGCTGTGATATGTAAATGTGACACCCAGCACATGCACCCCCCTGCAGACCTCTGAACCCTTTTGATGTCAAATAAAAATCACACATGTCGTATTTCCTTAACAAAAATCACACCGGAGAGGTGACACCACTCGTGTCGTGATTTAAAAAAAAAAGTTCCTCACAAGTCTGCCGTGGACATGTACCCCAGTTCTCCACCTCAATTTTGCAAAATGATTGTTATTTTCTTTGAAATAAAAATGGGACAAGCTGGTAACTGAATTTTTCCTCTGCCGTCTTAAGCTGTTCCTCGACTCATCGAGCTCTGTCGCTCCCCCACTGAGAGAAATAACAGTGACTCTGTGTTGGTGGCGTGCCTGGTAGGTGAAAGGATGTCTCCATACGTCCATATGTGCATGCAGACCTCTGAATACGCTCCTGAATAGAAATAGATCATTCAAACCTTCAAATTGCCCATTTCAGGTGCATGCCTAAAACACAACATCCATATAGCTCTTCCCCAGCATTATTCCACACGTTTTATGGTACACTGTCGCATGTTTCATCGAGCCAAAGTCCAATTTATTTAGATCCGCGGGACAAACTTTCAATCAGAAAGCCGACTGGTTTCACAAGATGTGAGCTTGTGTGTGCCTCCCCTGCTTGGAATTCACCACTCCGTCATTCTGATCATGATCATTAAGATACGGGATTTCAAGTACGTGTTGCTCAGGAGCTTAATTAGACAGCCTGAGAAATGCCCTGGTCTTTATACGCGTCCACACTTGTCAGTGCACTCAAATGAATGCGATTCCATTTTATCCCTTTAGCCAGGGGTTAAGTAGTGCATTTGGAGATGTTGGATTTTTGCCTTCAAAGAACGCTGAGCTTTCACAGATCATTTGTAAATCTGAAATGTAAATGCGGGAGGCTTTGCAGGCTAAATGGGTGAGTGGTGAGCATTAGTCCTGCAGTGTTGGAGTCAGGTGAGGCTCACGGTGCGTTCTAATGAGCTCCCGCTCCGTTGGGATCGGGCTAATACCTGCATGCTGACGCCGTGTGCCTCTCTCCCACTTAAACACGTTAAACACTTTCACATTTTTGCTTTATCTCCCCGCTTTTTCTTGATGTGTTTGCGTGTTATGTGTGCCTGCAGGCTGCTTTGAGGAGGCTAGCAGCGGGCTGTCCAGACAGCATAGAGGCGGCCGACCACCAGCAGCTCATCAAACCACGGCTAGTTGACTCTTTCCTGCTGTGCTCCAACATGGAGGAGAGCTTTGTATGATGGGCTGCTCACCAAAACCACTGAGAGCTGGACTCGTGTTCATTTAAGGCCACGTGCTGCCCTGTACTCGGAAACATTGCATCTGTTTTATGGCTTGTGCTTTTACATATATATATATATATATATATGGTTCTCATGTTTTTGTGTTGCTTATACAATTCACTTCACTAAAATTCTTAAATTATTTTATATGAGCAGATGCGTTAAAGTGCTTTTTAAATTACAAAGTATAACCTTATCGGAGAAAGAAAAACCTTGGTTGCCACCATTGTTCTATTTTATTTGATTTTTTACTGATATATTCATGAAGTTCAGAAAAGGAGGCTTTTGTTTGGGAAAAGCAAGACGTTCTTTGTACAAACAATGTGTGTTTTTTATGTTTCGAGTTAGCAACCGTTTTATTTGAATAAGAAATGCAGCTAAATTATTACAGTTATTCAGCGTGTTTGTGTTTTGAGTGACCGGATGAGAGGTCACATACATTTTTCATGAAGAAATACCATAACATGCTGTGACTGCATGGGTAAGAAAAAAGCACATCTGTTGGTTTGACAATGTATTCACGTTAAACATTTTTTTAAACATTAATCTAAAACACTACATTTGCAACTGGAAAAGAAATCTTTCTCTTTTTTTTTTAAGAGAGAATAACTATTATTGTATGCAATGCATGGAATAAAGGCAATTATATCCAAATTTGTTTTCTTTCTTGTGCATTATGGTGGTATTGCTGTGTCTTTTTTTTGTTGGTAAAACCACCTTAAAAAATACTTGTTTAAAGGTAAAAGAACTTGTCACAACACAAGTAGAAAAATGATTGTATTAGTACCACCCAAACTGGTCGTGATCAAATCGTGACAGGTACAGGCTCAAGATGACTCACACATGCAAATTATTTCATAACATCCGACTCCAACATTTCTGTAATACAAAGCTACATTTGTCTGTGCATGAATAAATACACATTTTACATATAATTGGTAAACAGAGGAACAGCTACTGCCCATCACAGGGTTAATGTGGCTGATTTAGAGCATGATCCAAGAACAAAACAGATTTAAAAAGGTTTTTTTATGGGTTTGATGAGGTCTATATTTAGCTCTTTAAATAAACTAAATGATTTAGGAATATTCATCATTTATAACCGTTTGATATGTCAACATTGTTGTTCTGCCGCTGTTATCAGGTATATCTGATCGTGTACAACAGGGTTTTGGGCAGTTTTTACCATTAAATGATGCAAAAGGTCTCTGATACAAACTATTTCAGAAAACCACGTGTATCAGATGTGATACATATGCATTATAGGGTAAAAACGATCATCTGTCCTTGAACAGTCTCACTATGCGTGAGTCAGAGGGAAAAAAACAGCATTGGACAGTCTGTCAAATTTGTTGAGTACGACATCTTTAAACAGTCAAGAAGAATTGAAAAGGGTTGAGTATGTGTTATTCTATCTGTATGACACTATTGCCTAACATTTCAGAAGTTGTGGACCAAATTTGAAATCAATTTAATGTCTCTTTCATCCTTAAATGGCTGTTTTATTTCACATTCATGAAACAGAAAAAGTAAGCTTATACACCCCCTCCTGGTGACCATAACATTACATCTTGAAACCTAATTTTAACATCAGTGAAGAAAACCAAAGGGAGCCATAGCAATCCCGCTACTTTTCAAATCTACACTAAGAGAGAAAAATCTTTGCTTTTTTCATTCACTAGGAACAATTTCAACCAGAATAAAAAAATCACAGTTAGTTACTTTATGGTAAAAGTGTGATTATTTAAAAAAAAAAAAAAACGTCATTACTCCTGCTTAATTTAGGCATCACATACCTAAATCTAATTTTAGAGCTAGTTTAGGTAAGTGTACTTCCTCTGGTATATCCCATGACTAAGAATTATCAGTGAAAAATGTGCGTTTTAAAGGGTTGACAGACTATTATTGTTATTGTTCGACCATTATTTTCTCCCTTTTTTCTGTTAAGACCTCTGTGTTTCGGTATCTTAGCAGAGAAGAGTAATTCTAAGCTTGGTCCACTTTTATTTATGGCATCAAAACAATTAAATATGCACCAGGTTTACTGAAGTACTTAAAGCCATCTCTAAAACTTTATTGATGCAGTCTGCCTGCAAATTTTTGCTTGAAAGATGAAAAAATATATAATATATATTGTCTCTGTAGCTGTTAAATTCAGAAATAGCAAGAATGTGTATCACCATATTTAAAAAAAACGTCTATAGGGCCAACTTTATATTTAAGTCTTGTTTTATTTGCGATCATTATTTGAATGACAAAGTGATGGATGATAAAGCAAATTCAGTGTGTTGAGGAGAAAAAATCGCTTGATATTCAATATTTTCAACACCAAACTTGAATTTCAGCTTATTGTTTTGATTATTTTGACATCCAACTGCTTTCTCCCATAAACACTGTCTGCTCAGACTCAAACCTGCAGCCAATCAGAGATGAGGACTTGACTGTTGTACTTTTTAAAAATGTATATATTTGTTTATTCTTTAACCTTGTCCTATTCAGCATTGTGGCAGCAGAACAGAAATCTGAGTATCATGCTATACTGATTTGCTTTGCCAAGGGAGGCTTTGTGGGTGAGAAGCCCCCTTGATTACCCAAAACTTCTTTATTTATTCATTTTTGTTACCAAACTTACATGTGTCCAATAATGCCGAACCTGACAGAGGGACGAGTAGTGGAAAGGAGAGAGATCCTTTAGACAGAAATAAAAAATAAAAAAAGAAAGACAGCAATACCATACAACCAGGTGTTATGTCTGTGAAAAAGACACTGTTCCTTGTGGGCAATCCGGGTGGAGAACCCGTAGGAGCTCCTGGAAGAGGACACAGCGAAGAAAAAAGAACAAATAAGAAACAAAAGAAACAACACAGGTTGCAGGACATTAATGAACTTCTCAGAATTGTGCAGCAACTGTACAGAAGCTTAAGGAGGTGTGTTTCTGGGTATCTGACTGTGTGTGTGTGAGTGAAAGAATGAGAACCCACAGCCCAGGTTCCCCAGATTGTGCTCAGAGATGACCGGGCACCAGCCCAGAGGCAACCAGACTGTTGTACTTTTAAATGTTGTGTAACATTTATGGAGACGCTTTCTAAAGAGGAGGTAAAGACACAAAGACTCAACCCATGTTCACATTATTCAGCAAGAAATGTATAATCATGATCCCGTTTTTTAAGTAAAAACGGGATCATCCTCTCATAATGTCTGCTAATGCTGTGGTCACTTCTTTGGTCATACTGCCATCAAATGACCAAACTAAAGTCAATGTTTCGATGCCATTAAAGGCATCGTCAGTCTGCTAAAAGCTGCAGCCAAAAAGTGCAATTAGCTGTGGCTTTCCTGAATCCAACTGACTCCATAATCATGAATAATCTTGTTATCAAATCCTGTGGCACAAGTTCTGAACATTCATGAGAAGTGTGCACCTTCTTCTTCCTAAAAAAAAGGAAGAACGTGTTCCAAGTGTTTGCTGGAGTCAGAACAAACATCAAAAAAAGAATTAAACCCAGAGCAGAACCAGAGGAAACTTTCAGGTGGTTCATGCAATGTAGCACTAGGGAAAAATTATATTTCCATAAGATAAATACACTATTGCCTGGAACCCAGCACAATACTATGGTATAGACTGAGGTATTTTTCTTTTTTCCTTTTTTTTTGTGATTTCAGATCATGATGCTACACAATAGAGGTGATGCAGAAGTAGCACAGTCAAAAGGTCATTTCTTTTTCTTATTTTTTAAAGAGTAAAGCATGCTCCATATATGTGAGGTTATATTTTTGTTTTGCCTTTTTTATCCATGCTTTCTGGGGGTGTTGGTCCATGACTGGACCAGGGACTGACGGACTACCCCCGGTGTAAAAGTCTGGGTTTGTCGGGCTTCTTTTGTATGTTGAGCTGTGTTTTGCAAGTATTCTTCAGCCTTCTGCCGCTTACTCCATTACCAGCCACTCTGATTTGCCACCTCCAAGAAAAATCTGCCGGTGAAAAGTCTGTAATTCTGGACTATTCCTGCTAACCCTTTAGATTCTCGTTTGTGTACCTCCTTCCTCCAGTTGCAGAATGGTCCCAGGTCCCATCAGCCTCTAGGAATCGGCAAGTCAATGTTAGTCTGTTTTTCATCTATATATAAATCTTATATAAATCTTTTTACAGGCGCCATTTTTTGTCCTTTTACAGTTTAAGGGTTTTAAGGGTTCTACCATTAAAATCCGTGACAGAACATATAGAATAAGATGATATATCCTTAGCTTTGAATTCAGTCTTCAAACAAAATAACAGTAATAATACATAATAATTTAAAAATCTATTTTTCTCTGTGAGACACCATGCACAGCCTTGTCTCAGCTTTCTGGATTTTGCAAGCAACTGCCAATAAAAAAATGACTAACAACATGCAATATCAGAGTTTCAAGCATTTGACTAATTCATTTGCAACTTAACCTCAATCAGCCACCACTAAATAAAAAAGTGTGAGTATGTGGACAAAACACAACAGACTTTAAAAAAAATCTAATTGTAAAAAAATAGTTAAAAACAGATTGTGCTCACAGTCCATCTATAAAATTATTTTGGTAAAAAAAACATTTTTTGGGCTACTTCACTGTCTCAATCACAGCAAATTTGTTTGTGGATGTTGAAACCTTAGAAATTTAACAAAGGTTAAATAGGTTAAAGGTTATAGATACACTTCTATAAATCTATTTTATGTCTTAATTTAGTGTGTTTATGAAGTTTTAAGAAATATTTCACCCACAGATCTGATTAAAGGTTAATTTCCCCATTGACTTTGTTTTTATGATGTTTTTTATTTGTAAACTCATACCTGTAAAATACATTATATTACTAAGTTTAAATTGTTTGGATTTTTGCATAAACTGACCTTGATGCCATAACTGTGATTTAAAGCTTTGCACTCTTTGCACTCTATGATGAGAATAGCCTGTTTTTCAGCCTTCAGACACCTTTTCCCCGTTTAAAGGAAGCCTGGGGAAGGCTCAGGTGCTCCTCAAACAGCCCACAGTCCTCTCCATACTAGATCCTCCTTTTTCCTTTTTATCCATGTGCATGCAAAAATAATGTTGTGAAAGTGTAATCATATCAATATTTGATCTCTTTAACGCATGCTGTAACCATATGTAAAAGATAACTAAGGACAAGGCTGTGAGACACACTGGATTTTGCAAGCTACTCCCTTAACTCTAGCAAAATAAAACCAAATATGATCAAAGGTGTGGTCTTAACATCAGTTTCAGGTTCTTTTAGAGGCAGACTGGTCCAGTAATTCTCTCTGGATCTGAATCCTTTATTTGCTAATGATTGTCTGGTTCCTCATCAAATCATCTGTTATGTATTTTTTTTTTTGTGCCCAACCCAAAGCCAAGCTTGTCAGGTTTAATTGTGTAGTTAAAAAAAACTAAGACCTGCTATAAAACCCTAAAGAATCCCAAAGAATGAGAGCCAAGACTCTGAATTGTGGCTCACACCATCATAAATTTGCCTGCTTGCGCACAGCACTTTGAAAACATTTTACTGCATTATCGCTCACCTCCTGCTATCCCGCTTTGGCTCCCCTTGACGTGTTTCTCCTCCTCAAGATGAAATTGAAGTTAAAGGTCA